GTATATAATTATAATATATTATATTATATGTTATAAAATATAATTATATTATATTATAAATTATTATAATATAATATTAATTATATTATAAATATTATTATAATAATTATAATATTCAAGGGTAATAATGGAAAAGAAAATTGAAAGAGCTTGGAATGGGCATTCTTCTCATATGAAGAAGGAATGATGATTCACCCATTTAATGGAAAAGTCATTCCATTTTGAATGGTCATTCCTTTTCCTAAAACCAACCAAATATAAGAATGAACCTTGATTCCTTTCCATTCCCCCCAACCAAACACACCCTAAGAAGACTTTTATTACGTTTCTAACCTATTATCTTAGAGGATGTTTGATACCTAGATTCGTTCTCTGATTCGAATCATGGTTCATGGTTCGCTACAGTATTTTCTCTCACAAAAAATACACATAAATCGAAAATAATTCTAATCACATGGTTCTAATTTATGAACCAAACGTCTCCTTAGTGTTTTTATCAATAGAAGACCTCAAAACCATACATACCATCCACAACCTTTGTGTACTCAAGTTATTTTTATTGATACCAAACACATATATGTCCCACAAATAAAGAAAATTTGACAAAAGTCATTGTCTAGTGCACGTTTTTGTATGATTAAGATGGAGGTTCTTGAACCTTGAAAATTTCATGAACAGCTGAAAAGTCGAGGTCCCCAAGTCCTACACTTCTTGCTTTCTTGAAAGCCTGCAAAAACCACCTTGTAAGTCCCAGTGTAAACTTAATTTACAGCGTCAACTGCATAGCAAACATTTCAAGCACTTGAAAATACTTTTATAATTGTCACTTACCTCCTTTATGATATTTCTATCAACTATCCTACTAATGTTACAGCTACAAAAAAATTTTAAAAAACAAATAGACAATCGGTATAGGAAAGCTTTATTTCCATAAAAAAAAAGGTCTTTTCATGTTAGAATACAAAACAATTGTGTAGCTGAATGTATAGTACTATGTATAGCACCTCCTAATTTTGTTATTCTAGATGTGTGACATGTGTATAGTTGATTATAGTGCACTAGCATACTGAGTATAAATAACATCTTTTGCCTTCTTTCTCTATACCTGCACCATACTTTCCTTTTTTTCATTTATATATTTGTAAAAAAATATTGTTCATAACTATAGTAAATTAGTTGTAATTAGCATCTTAAATTGGTTGTATCTAGTTAACGTCCATTTTAAATTTAACTTTTTATCTCAGATTTAACAGGTTGGAATAAGTGCTATCGTGATTAGTAGTAGACCAGTGGCTAGTGTAGAGTGTCGAGTAAGCAAGAGTTCAGTCCATGTGTTTACCTATTAGGATTGTTTAGAATTTGGTTATGTTTATCTTCGTATTATGCTGAGTTAATCTTATCGTAAGATTTCATTTCAACTAACCTCATTGGCCGCAGCCGCTACCGGCATCGAGACAGCATGCTCGTCTGCGAGGGCAAGAGCCAATCTCATGTCCTTCTGCTGATGTTTCAGAGGAAACGCGGGAGAGTAGTTGCTCTGAATCATACTTGGTCCTTTTAGCTTAAACATTGGATTAGCAATTGCACCCAGTTCCTGTCACAAACTGGTCTATCAATTTTCGGAGTTTAATAGCAAGAGAAAATAATGATAATTTTTTGTTGTTATCTATTCTTACCAATACATCAAGAAGATTACCAGGCTCAAGTCCACTTCTTTCAGCAAGAACAAGTCCCTCTGAGAAAGCATTCATCATACTGCAACAAAACAGAATCACATAAAAAGTTCAAAATTTCAAGCAAATTTATTGATTCAAAGCTTTAAAAAGAAAAGAAAACAACTATTCATTTCTATAAGCAGGGAAGGGAAAAAAAAATGCAGGGATCATAACCCACTACCATTTAAGAATTTTTTTGGTCTTGTACCTTTAAATGAATCCTCAAGAAGAGAAACATTTCATTAAAGGAATATCAGATTCTGAATGAAAGGAAAAACACAGAGCCCAGCCAAAAGAAACCAAATCATAGGAAAAAACTAACAAATGATTACAACAAAGGGAAGAGCTTTGGCATGAGTCTTGAAGTTATTCACTATATCTCTATGAAACTAAAGCAGTGAAAAAAATTGAGTTCCCATTTGTATAATGCCGACTTTTTCAGATAGGTCTACTATAAAAAAGGCGGACCCCAGTGCCAAAGAGGCTCCCGTACTATAACAGGCTCGGAAAAAAGCTCAATCCCATATGTATGTGGCCTTACCCCCCGAAGGAGAGGCTGTTTCTGGGATTCGAAACTTAAACCCTGGGGTGCAAACGCAAACGCTCCCACCACGGTGCTAAGGCCCGCCTTCTGGTAAAAGTAAGATTAAGTACCTTCCCATAATCATGTTGACAACGAGCTTCATTTTTGCTCCATTTCCAACCTGCCCCAAGAAGAAAGACTTCTTTCCCAAGACGTCAAAAGCAGGAATCACTTCATCATATAGTGTCTACATTTTAAACCAGTAATTACAACAACATGGTTAATAATACTGAGCAAAGAACACACTGAGTCATAAAGATTTATATAGTCAATTCCTTGACATAGTAATGAAAATAACGAGTTTTTCTGCCATTTTGATATTGCTATGACATTTCTTTTCAAGCAAAAAGAAGCGGGGGAAAAAAGATCGATACCCAAAATCCAATGCTGCAACAAACTTGCGGCTACATAAATTAATTCTTTTCTTAAAAGAAAGTTATATGAATGAATACAACATGAATCTTTATTTGGCTACAAGCAAAGCATTTAATAAGAGTTGAAAGGACTTGTGTTTTGAGATTCTATATTTCTACTAAAAAACAATATCTCAAAATGTACAACTAACAGCAAGCACATAAGAAATACAGCAAGAACATAGATGACCCAAAAATATTAGGTGTGTAATAGTCTTACCTTCTCCCCTGCGGCAAGTATTACTAGTTGACCATCTTCTGCAGGCTTTTTGCTACCTGAAACAGGAGCTTCAAGAAAGTAACCACCTTTTGATGAAATTGCCTGTAAATATTCACCATAAACAAATCATTATATATATATATATATATATTCTTCGGTAATCATACATTGTTTTTTTTTTTCTTTTTCATAATTAGTCATTATTGATTACATATATTCTACTCTTCTCATTCTTTCATCCTTTAAATGCATTATACATTAAAACAATCACTTTTGAATAACGAGAGCAATGAACACAATTGTTAACAATGCTATTATTGTGGAAAGATTCTCCCCTATAATGATTTACATATAGTCTACTCTTCTCATTCTTTCATCCTTAAAATGCATTATACATTAAAACAATCACTTTTGAATAACGAGAGCAATGAACACAATTGTTAACAAGGCTATAAAATCCCCTAGTTAGTTGATATGTTTTTCTAGCAATTAGGAGGAACATGTTAGTTTATCAATTCTATCAAAAGCTCAAGTTGCTAAAAGGTGGACCAATATTAAATCCTAAACTTCCCAACACGGGCCAGGAAGGGGGATTATACGGGTGAATTCGAGAAATACCACCTTTAGAGAATTGGAATTTAAAAAATACTACTTTGTGGCAATTAAACATAAGTTTCATAAAGTGGTACTTGTGAATTACAAGACTATAAAAACTGATATACAAACCCAGTTTACCTATTAAAGGAGACAATAGGCTTAAACGTGATAAGTTACGAAATTAGTATTAAGACATGCTCTAATACTATGTTTGTTTATCAATTAAATTATCTTCCAAGAGAACAAAATCTGAATGTAAAAAACCTCGCTGATCTTAGAAGAAGTATCGGCATCAACGGTGGACATGTCGATGTAACCTTTTCCATCAGAGATTTGCTCAAGAACACCATCTTTGTCAAACACCACCTAATGATGATCAATGAACATGCTTAAGTCAAACAAAGAACAATTAATTACGTCAAAATGCAATGTTTAACACAAAGAAAGAACGTCAGACTGACCGAAAGGGCGGCGACGGGATTGGACAACATGGCGAAGGTGTACTTGCACTTCTTAACTACAGCTGCAGGGGATTCTGCAGTTGAAGCACCATACTCAACAAGTTCATCGCACTGAAATAAATTAATAAATATAGGATTTAGACATAAATTTTATCAATTCGAATAATATGAAACTAAAATAGACAGAGTAGTTCTTTTACCTTAGAGGGAGACCTGTTCCACACGGTGACTTTGAATCCATGGCGAAGCAGATTCAACGACATGGCCTTCCCCATTATTCCAAGCCCTAAAAACCCCACCTCCATTTTTGATTGATTCTTTTCTCTGGATTTCTGCTTTGCTTCTCTTTTCTTTCTTTACCAGTTTTCTACTTCCACTTCTCCCCTCTCTCTCTCTCTCTCTCTTCATATATATTATATATAATTTGCTTCAAATGAATCAGCGAGTGAGGCATTGGAATTCGTAGTTTATTGTATATTATTAAAATAGTTAATAATTAATAATTATTGTGAAAAAAAAAAACTTATTTCAATACGTCAATATCTCAAATTTTTTAATCCGTTTAATTGTAAAATTACATAAAAATAAAAAATATATAAATTTAACGATTAAAAAAATTTATTTAATCTATTTAATCTATATAAAAATATATAAAAATTAAAAAATATAAAAATTTAAGGATTAAAAAAATTCTAGTCCATCAATACATTAATCATACAAGAAAATGTCCTAAAAAAAATCGACAGGAATAATCTTTCTAAAAAAAAATGACAGGAAGAGACGAGAGCTTTTTTATAGTTGAATCATTCGTGGTTTTGGAGACAGACTTGCAGACCGATAGATGCCTACCACGTCACTCTCTAGTGTGTTGTTGATTGGGTTGCCAATCCCATCTTCACGTGTCCACAGTTTCAGGAGAGTGTCACACCAGATTCGTCCACGTGGATGAATCGGATTGGCACTTGTAAGACTCTACAGCTTTTAATTTGCCCACTCGCCTATCCACCATCAACATCAAACTCGCCCGGATAAAGTTGCCACTTGGCACCGTCTGAGCTGCCTGTCGTAAATAAATACTAAAACATTTTTTTTTGCTCCCTGTTTCTTACCGGCAGTCGTAATTTTTAACTGTTAAATTTAATTAAAATTATATTAAATTAAAAAAATATATAAAATAAATAAATTTTAATACAAATTTAACAGTTAAAAAATAAAAAAACACGAATAGTCTTATATTTATAACATACTTAATTTGGTTTCAATTTTGGCCTACGATAATCCTCTTTTACATCCATTAATATCTTTTAGGGCAAATTTGAAGTGTTTTTTTTTTCTTTTTGTTTTCTTTCAAATTTTTTATTTACTAAACTTAGATCTTTTCTAATGTAAATGAAAAATGATAATATTCATTCGTATCCATGAAAATAAATACCTATCACTCATAGAAAAAAAAAAAAAAAGAGTTATGCTAAATTGAGTCCCACCTACTCATGACTCACTTTACGTAAATAACGAAATTTTAACTCCATAAAAATACATCATAGATTGCTCAATAAAAATATTAATATTCAATACTAATGTTATACCTTAAATAAGGTGAATATAAATAGTGATGCTATATTTATATCATACCTGCAAAACCCATTGTTCCAGAGGTTGATTTTAAATTTTTGATGAAGGAAATGCTAGCATCACTTTTTTTGTTATTTTTTATCATTTATTATATTTATTATTTGACACGTAAACTCTGCTCTCTCATTTTCTGTTTAAATAATATATCATGTTAGTAGAGTTCACATGTCAAATACTGAATACAAAGAGTGATAAAAAAAAAAAAGCTAACATTATAACGATAAGTTTGAGGCAAATCCTCATCTCAAGGCCAAAGTATGAAAAAACATAACCGATTGGTTGTTTTGGATTGAACATTTTGCCAATTTTGATTTTACGCATCTTGATTTTAAAAAAGAAATAATGATTACCAACAATTTAGATTATAAAATAATAATAATAATAATAATAAATATTTCTAGCTATTCAAGAAAAAAATTATAACCATCTCTCTGGACAATTTAACAAAAGAAATGAAAATATTGTTTAATGAGCTTTCCTAAATCCAAGCCCATTATAGCAGATTCAATCTCACGATTGAATTTTACAGTGAACACAACTTCTCCCTTCCCTCTAGACTCAAAGTGCACTACTTTAGTTGGAGCACATGCCATAATTGCTGTAGCAAAGGGTGTACTAGGCTTTCCAAAATTTGAAATGAATTCTAACAATTTGGCCCCAATAGAATTTACCTACACCACAAATTAGAAGTGCCAAAATAATATTAATAATAATAACAAAATGCGAAAAAAACCCAAAATTAAGTAAAAAAAAGTTCAAAATTCTTATGAGTAGTTGTAATTGTTGTTTTCAAATAAGCTATGTATGTTATGTATGTATGTATGTATTATTACTATTATTATTTTACCTCTTCAAGTGTGATTGTTCTAGCAACAGCGGCTACATGAGTTTAAAAAGGCATATTAAACAATGATTTTTTTTAACGTGTAACTTTTAACGACGGTTTTTAAACCGTCATTAAAAGTATTAAAAATATATATATATATATATATATATTTTTGCCGAAAACTAATTCTTTACTCAAAAAAATTATTTCTTTGAATGTTATCACAAGTCATTAAACAACACACATGAAAAAAATTCAAAACAGTATGTTACAAATTCACCTTCTCATACATAATTAATATATATGGAACACAAATATTTCAAAATCAAAAGTCTTTATGAAATCTAACAACAAAAATACCTAATTAATTCAAAGAAAACTTTAAATCCAAACGAAAAAAAAACTAATCTCAAGGAAAAGAAATTTCAAAAGATTAACAAAGTACCAATTTCGATAGTTATAGTGTAGTGGCGGATATGGAGGCAAGGTCACGACGACTGGCGACGTATGAGCATGATTGTGAGGCTCTTGGAGGCGGCGACCAAGTTGAGGGAGTGAGGAGTACGTATAGTAATGGGAATGGGGAGTGTAGAAGAGATGTGATTTGAGAGAAAAAAATTGAAGTGTTGAGAGGAGGTTAGAAGAGAGAGTTAAGGTATGAGGAAGAGAGAGAGAGCTTTGGAGAGATGGAGAGATTTGAGATAACAAACTTAGAGTCTGTAAGAGAATGCTCGAAGTTATAGATGAGATATCAAAACTTTAAAAATTTTTCTAAAAAAAATGAGCAGAAAAAAGTCCGTTTTTTTTTTTTGAAATTTTTTGACATTAGATGACGGTTTTTTAAAAAATCATCGTCTAATGTGCTCGTACAGATTTTTTGTGTTAATACCGCATTTTCTAATTTATTAGACGGTTTTTTTAAAAAACGTCGTTAAATAAGTGCCAGTCTAATCTTCTATTCGTTGTAGTGCTAAACATTCACGTGCTTCCCTTAGCTCGATTATAGTAAGGCCAAGTGCATCCTTTTGTATGATAAATTCCATGATTTCACGCGATGGACTGTCATCAAGAACAGCAATGAAATTTGTTGAACTCTCCATAGTTAATCCCCAACTCTTTTAGCTTGCGAACCTACATGCCGTTTAAGAATTTACGTACTAAATATATATATATATATGTGTGTGTGTGTATGTATATAACATTACAAGCAAACCATCTTTCTTCTTCTTCTTGTTTTTTTTTTCTTTTTTTTTTAGTACATTGAGCCCAAAAAGGAGCAAGAATAATATAATACAAAAAGGACTTGGGTACCATTCATCGTCATAGTGCAACAATATTTGAGCTTCGATTTCCGCAAAAAAAAAATTATGTAAAACTTTAAACGTTTTTCGACAACCTCAGTCCAATTTTGTAAGCACCAAAAAAATATTATAGAGTTTTTTTTTTTTTTTTTTTTTTTCATCTCACAATGGAAATATATATATGAAAGTAAGGACTAAAATTTTCTCAAAATGTAAAAGTAGTTGAGAATTTACCAAAATTCCAGAGATGTCATAGTTCCAAGATATATATTGTACGTTTATGTACCATTTTTTATAAGAAAGGACTATTGTGCGTTTAAATAGTTGAGGGATTAAGGTACAAATCTCGTAAAAAACTACGACTTCGTTTATTTCTTTGATTTGAGTTTAAAATTTGAGTTTTATTATAATAAAAATTCTCAGAAACATTCATATTTAATTTTTTTTTTACAGTAAAAAACTCTCACATAAAGTCACATCTCAACTCGAATTAAAAACTTAAACTAGCGAATTACTAAACGGACCCTACTTTTATTGCAGTTTCCAATCCCTGGGATCACTTGTAATATCAAGATTAGTAAGAGCACATCCATAATTATCAACGTCGCTATGATCCATTTCCGTTAGTGCTGGGGATGAATTTGAACTCTGAAACATTTTATATTATTTAGTTTCTTTTTGAAAACTATTAATATACATAGATAACATTAAGTTGCTAATACATCTGACATAAACAACATATATATGTACACACAGATATATATATATATATATATATATCATACATAACACTAGCTACTAAAATTCTTGTTCAGTTTACGAACAAAGATAAAGTTGAACGTGCAATTAATTCATAAAAGTAAAACAAAAGGCTATAATAAACAATTCCAAGTAATTTATCAATAAAATTCTAATTTTGTGCGGCCCAATCCTGATAATACAAATATTTAATTTCATAAAATATAACTTTGAGAAAAACAGAGTTTAGGATATTTATTTGGTGGTAATTAGAAGACAAGAAAAACCTTGACATAACTATATATAACAAAATCTAAAATTTAGTTTGGCTGGGGCCGTTTAGTTCACTGATTCGAATTTTTAATTCGAGTTGAGATGTGATTTTATGTGAGAATTTTTTACTGTAGTAAAAAAGTTAGATGTGACTGTTTCTAAGAATTTTTTTACTGTAATAAAACTCGAATTCTAAACTTGAATCGGTGAAGTGAACGAGAACGTATTGATCAAACTAAAAATTAAAGGGAACGCACCTTGTATTTTGCATTAATTCGGAAACGCAAAATAGACAGATATATATGCTTCATCACAAAATTTCTCAATTCACCATAGGTTCGAAACTTGTTTACTGGATTCTGTAATAGTTTCTCAACAATTTTAAAAGAAAGAAAAAGAGAGGAAAAAAAAAGTGGCCGGAGAAAACACGAAAAAGTACTACTAATGAAAAGAAACATAAGTTCTTTTTCGCTATATAGCTCATTGTAGTTTCTACAACAATTTATTTTATATTCTCTTTTAAAAAAAAAAAGAAAGCATTTTATCTATATGAATGATTATTTCTTAGATATTCATATGATAATTAAATATATAAGTTTCC